TCGGAAATGCTACGGTTGGAACAGCCGTTTCCCTAGGACTTTAACAAGATCCTCCACAAATGGACATGCAATGTTTTTTTATAAAAAAAAAACCTAATGCGTCAAACAGCCTGTTGAATGATATATATTTTTAATGCACAAAACTGAGACAAAAATCTTACTAAATCAGGAAATAAAACAACATGATTGGCTGTAAGGAGAGTGGAGACAGAGGACACGGAGTTTACAGAAGAAAACCTGCTATTGACCAGGTTAGCTCTGAGGAGAATGTTACTATGGTGACTGAAGCAGAGGTTGACTAAACTCTCTTTGTGAAACGGAAAAGTTAGAGGTTCCCTGTTTTCAGGTTGAGAAAACTGAAGAGTTTTCGGTAAACCTGCTTCTTGAAACAGACCCCTGCTCTCGTTCTGTGGCTTCCGCCAAGAATTTGAGGAGTATGTAGGCTCTTGTCTTGGTAGACTTCTCGCTGTGTGCAGGGGCAATGAATATTTTATATTCACGTTTAACCCTTCTCCAGTTCTCTGCCACATTTTCCTCGAAGACCAGTGGCTCTGGGCATCCGTCTGTCATTTTGTGTTTTGTTTACCTCTGTTAGCTGCATTCCAAAAGTCCTCAGCGACTCTGTGAAATCTTGTAGCCAAGGATATCCCACTTCTGACACATGTAGAGTCAACTGATGGGAGATGGTATTGTTTCAATAGTAATGTTTTTTTTATTGTCATCTTCTGGGACCACCTGTAAGCATAACAGCTGACATACATCACTGCCAGTGTGCTCCTCACATGTACAACCAAACTCTTGCAGGGCTGCAGCGACACCTTGCCTTCAAACAATGCAACTGCGATAGTATTGTCTACATCACAGATGCCTTTATTTTTTTAATGAGCACATTTAATTTCTTCAAACTGGGTCAAAAAAGGCCTGTAAGTCCATATTACCAATTCACTATAATAAATTAACTAAACAACTTATAACTGGCTCTGAAAACAAACTAAATTTCTATGGCCAATTATAAAACATCTTTTATTTGGATGAATGATTTACTCTCTCTCACTCACGTGTCAAACCTGTAGTGTGTTTAGTTGTTATATTAATGTTAAACTTCAGTCCTCAGCTAAAGAAATCTGGTTCAGACCTTTTTTTGTTTTTTTACGTCAGCACAGTAAATGTTGTTCCACAGTTATTCTTCTGCCTCCTTTAGCAATAACAGCACATGAAATAAGTATTTTTGTGGCTTTGGAGGTGAGGG